CACACACCTGTGTGTATCTGTGTGTGTGCCGGAGCAGGATAGATGTTCTTTCTCTGATCTTTAGAGCTCCATTAAAAACACGTCAATGAAGAAAAGGAAGATACGAGAGGAACCAATGTTCTCACATCGGAGTCATGTTCTAATTATTAGATTCATTTTATGGCTCTTTTATTTACTATACACACATTTATTTTACTTTCTCAGTTTATATTTTTACTTATTAATTTGCTTATTGTTTGTACCAATCTCAAAAACAATCCTACATCTTATATATCATCAGTTTTATGTCTGAGACATAATTATTATTTCATAGTTGAGCATCATTCCGTCTGTATAATATTCTTTGGCTCAAATATATTTAAAATAAAAACATGAACAATAAGAACTTAATTACAAAAGAAGTTAACCGAACCGGAAAACAAAAACCAGAAACTCAAGGAGCAGAATGAAGTCGTAATGAAAGTAAAATGTGATTAAACTGTGCTGAGTCGCTCGTCTCACCTCGAAGAAGCTCTCCACGTACTGCAGGACGTAGACTCCACAGTCGCTGAAGTTGTCCTGCTGAGGCACTCGGGGACTCGAACCCTTCATCTGGTCTTTACCGAAGCTCCTCTGGCTCTCTTTACGCACCTCCCACTCCACCTCCAGGTACCTAAAACAAGCGCACACTCGGTCACCACCGGGGACAAACACTCGATAACAATCAACAGGAAGCTTCAGAAAACAGTCTCAGTCATGCTGGAAAGATGTTAATATTAAAACCATGATTATTATTCTATGTTCTGGAACTACAGTTCCCATAATGATGTAAACAGGAAGTATGATGTTCTGCTGTTGGCTCCAGCTCCTGTTTTTAGCTTTTATTTGTTCACAAGTGGCAACATTAGAAATACACAGAATTATGTATTATGAGCTGGTGTTTGCCGTCTTATCACCGGATTACTCTGATACCGGAGAGAACTTAAAAACGGGCAGATTCTCAGATACATTCTGCAGTTTTAATGTTTACTTTTGTGGATTTATGGTTGAGATGTAATGACGTCATCAGGAAGTGTAAGTCACACTGAATCTAAATGAACTTCATGGTGTCTGTGCGCTCATATTTCTGCGATTGATGACTTTGAGGAGAAGTAGCTCGGGTACCTTAACTGCCTCCATGAGCTCAGTCTTTTATATAAAGACTGAATACTTTTATCACTTCAGGCTTATGAAACGTATTCAAATGAATAAATCTGAGAAGAGATAATCACTAATAGATTAGGCTTTGTTTCGGACGTTTTTCTGACGGAAGCGTTTGTCACACGTGATGTGTTCAAGGACTGTGGGAAAGATGATATAATGATGATCGTGACCATTTTTGCAACTTCTGGCTGTGATAAACGTAGTTTTGGCAATTGTTTAAAGAAAACATGATTTCCATCCCACCGGCTGGTTTTGGATTAATGCATAGAATATTATACCGACGACAATCACTAAAATAAAATCATTAAATAAAATCTGCTCACTCTCTGAGGGTTTTCACCACTGTCGACCTGGCCGGACCTCGCAGGGAATCCATGATGAGGATACAAGGCCTGAAGAAGAGAAACAAGGGTCAACAAACGTCTCTCTCCCTCTCCTCTCCTCTGCTGTGAGCGGTGCTGCCACCTGCTGGTGAAAAGACAGAAGTGCACCAACTTACTGTTTGCAGAGGTTCAGTTTGGCGGCCAGAGCGGAGGCGTCCGATCCGAGCGTGTCTTCAGCCAGCGTCCCGTCCTCACTGCACTCGTCCTGGAGACACAGACGGGAACTCATGAGAACTACAGTCCTAAAAGACTACATTCAGAGGAGACCGACAGGAAGTGAGGACGAGTACCTGACAGGAGCTCTGGTCGTCGGAGAAGGCGTCGTCGTCTCCTTTGGTTGAACTGTAGCAAACGCTGATTCTCTGCAGCTCACCTGAAGGAAACATGTTTTAATGTGGTGCATTTGGAACCAGATTAAAGAACTTGTTCATGGTAGAGTGAGGTCGTAACACTTTAGGAGAACAGGTGTATTTTCTGTATTAATGGATTCTCAGACGGACGATAACTTTGAGTGAATAAAATGCATTTAATTGAAACACTCGGCCTGTTAATAAAGGTAGAAATGTTCACTTGTGTATTGCTGCTCCGGCTCAGCCTGGTTGTTGCCAGTCACCGTCGTGGTCCTGGAAGCCTCCGGTCCTCCGTCTGTGAAGGCCGCGTTCTCCCTCGTGGAGGGTTCTGCCTCGGTCTGACTGTCCGTGGACGCCTCAGGGACGCCGGGGGACGGGTCCTCCTGGGAGCCGTCCAGCCCGTCTCCGTCCGGGGACAGAGGACGGCAGTGCTCCGGGAGATTCTCCTCTGACGGGGGGGTGCCGTGGTGGAGCGGGTTCTGCTCGTAGACCGGACCCCTGAGACCCGGGAAGCAGATGACGGCGAGGTACCAGTGAGCTCTGACAACACAAGACATTCAGTTATTATATATATTATATATGTATATATTATATATGTATATGTAAAAGCTTAAGTTATAGAGAAGACTCACGACTCATTGATGGGAACAAAGATGAAGTCCTTCTGGAAGAGATCTACGTGACGAGTCCACGTCTTCACCCGGTTGTGTTTCCTTTTCTGGATTCTGGAAAAAGATCAAAAAGCACAAGTTTGAGTTTGAGCGTCCAGCAGCAGGAACGTGATGACGTGTGAACGTGATGGAGCCTCACGGCAGGTTGGTGGTGTCGGGCGCGTTCCTCCGCTCTCTCTGGTTCAGTCTCTTGTAGAAGAACGAGCTGAACACGTGGATCCTTTGTGCGTCGTCCTTTTTCAACTTCTCCAGAACTAAATATCTAACGCAGACGAACAGCAGAGGACAAATCAAGCTTCATAAACACATATTTGGTATTTTATACTGTGGGACATCGTCGTTTTAATACTCACTTTAAATAAAAGTCTATGATGACGTCGTTGAGGAACTCTCCGTCGTTAAGGCAGTGGAGGTCTTCGTTAGTGACCGACATGCCTCCTTTGGCCGGAGGAGGAGGATAGACCATTAACCTGGAAGAGAAACATCACCAAACACACCGTCACACCGCTGAAGTCCAGCGGAGGAGGCTGGGTATCGATGCCCCGATGCATCCACCGATGGATGAGGAACCATTGATCCCCAGAGGACAACCGGGGCTGTACTGTTCAAAGCTTCACTCAGAACATCACAATCAGCATTCATTGTGTTTGAAACACGCATTTGTCAGATAAAGATCAAGCTACACTAATATTATTAGCATTATACTATGGATTGGATTCCAGTGGTGAATGCAGAGCATTGATTAAAGTCTAAATGTAACAGAAAACAGAAAGTATATCTCACAAAATATTCTGCTTCAGTTCATATTTGTTGGCGTTTAGTCTTTTAAAAAACATTTTCACTGTTTGCACACACAGAGAGGCAGCAGCTGCATTAACAGGGAACAAAACTACACATTCAACCGCAATATTTTTCGTACCGAAAGTCATTTTTACTCAAAAAAAAACTCCGCCGAGTACAGGAGGAAGTAACCAGAGAGAGCTGCTCACTTGACGATGGGTCCGGAGAAGGTGGGCTGGAGGTCGGTCATGTCCTCGTCCTCTTCCTCAAAGTATCCTCCGGTGTGTTGGCGGGTCGCCATCCGTGTGCGTGCGTGCACGGTGACCGGGCTCGCCGGGGGGGCCTGCGTCGCCTTAGTACCCGGGGATCCCTGTGAGACTCTGTGAGGACTTTGTGTCGGCTTCTCCTGCAGAGAGACGGAAATAAACAACCTCCTCGCTCATATCCGCCTGTAAAGATTCCAAAGATTGTTTTTGTTTTGTTTTAAATTCCTGCAGATTTTGTGGAAGAATACAAATGGATTGGACCAAACGCCACAGTTTAATATGTGAAGATGTGTGACGGCCCTCCTCCCATCATACACCAGCTGCCCGGTTGTGCTTCCTTCTGTTAGGTGCTGACTGGAGGCTCGTCAGCAGGATGAGCCTCACCTGTGCCGGTGTGGCTCATCCTTAACATACCCTCTCCAGTTGGCAGCCGGCTCTCTCTGGAAGCTGGTTTTTAAAATATGAGCTTCTAGTTTTATCACTTTAGAAACTGAATATGTCGGGGAACAAAGACAAAACGATGGAATAGTCAGATTAAGAGAGCCTCACCTTCTCCTCCTTCTGTTTCAAGGCCTTGTTGAAGTTCACCAGGCGGATGTTGGCCTCCTCAAAGGGCAGCTTTGCGGGGAAGTTGCTGAGGTTGTTGGTCCGGCCGATCTCGCCCAGGATGTCCTCCAGGATGGCCTGCTCCTTCATCACCAGGCCGTTCTCGAAGATCAGGACGATGAACTTCTCGTCCGACTCTGACGGCACAAAGAGGCAGATTGTTGTTATTGTGCTGTGGCTTCAATTTTAAATGCATTAAACGTATCAAATCTATCATTTAAATCTATCATTTATATTCATATTTTACTGTGGCACTCCAGATGCATCCTGTTTGCCCTGCGCTCTCTCTATAATATCTAGTCTCTACATATTATACTCTTCATGCTTTTCACAAACCGTTTCAGCTTGAATGTTCTGCAGCTATGTAGGCTTGTTAAAAAAGGAGAGTTGTCAGAATGTCAACAATGAGAGCAGGACGTCAACGACACATGAAGTCAAGTTGTGTTCAGTGGAATCAACTGTGTGCAAAGTACGAGAGAAAGTATTCTCTCTGCTGTCCACCAGGGGGCGACTCCTCTGGTTGTATAGAAGTCTATGAGAAAATGACTACTTCTCTCTTGATTTATTACCTCAGTAAACATTGTAAACATGTACAGATCTAAACTGTATTGCTCGTGGGGTACTTGTACTGTATTGCTCGTGGGGTACTTGTACTGTATTGCTCGTGGGGTAATTGTACTGTATTGCTCGTGGGGTGTGGTACTTGTACTGTATTGCTCGTGGGGTGTGGTACTGTATTGCTCGTGGGGTGT